GTGAGGCAATTGGGGTTAAGTGACTTGCCTAGGGTCACACAGCTAGCTAGTAAGTGTTATGCGTCTGAGGCCGGATTTGAATTCAGGTCCTCCTGAATCCAGGGCCCGTGCTCTATCCACTGTACCACCTAGCTGCCCCCTGGCTACTCTCTTGATAACAATGCTCTGGATCCTGGGTATTGAGATCTTTGAGCCAGCTGGTACTGCTTTATTGGAAATATCTGTTTTTAGAGTCTGTAAGTTTATCCAAGTACCACTGGGCACAGGTGGTTATCAACATTATTACATGGATGTCATTGTGTAGACCCTGGAGAATTTGAGCCAAGTTTGAACTTAAAATTAGAAAGAAAATAAGCCCTAAAGGCTCACTCTTGCTGCCCACTCTTCGTTAACACTCTTGGCAGTTATTGCAAGTGATAGGAAAGCAGGACAAGAATGAAGGGTAAGACCATGTGGGAGGAGATTACCCACCATCTGCCTACACTGCCACTAGCTCTCACTAGGATTTTAAGTTTCAGAAAATTTTCTGAAAAGTTATGGTCACACCAAGCTTCACATTGTTGCCATTTTGTGGATGAAATTTGCTGAATGGCGCATGCATGCACACACACACGCGCACACTGCAAGTCTACTCAGAACACAGAGAAGTCTTACAGTCTATCTAGTGGACAGATAAGACCATTTCTTAACTGCAGCTGTGGCCTGTTAGTGGGCCTTTTTCAGTATGCATTTGTACCTCTTTTTTTATCAAACCTAAGAGATGAAAATCTGGATGTACAAAACATGTTGTAATCATAGTGCTTTAAAGCTGGAAGGAACCTTCTTCACAATGATTTGAATTTCTATTACTTCATTTTAAGTTTAACTTTTCAGGAACACATTTCTGATATAAAGAAATTGAGGCTTACCCAGCAAAGGCCTACAAGTAATTTCATAATGATAGCTTATTTAATGAAATTTCTCCTTTTAGGATCTTTTCTACTTTTCTTTCTTCCCCTTTTGCAGATACCTTGGAAGAATTTAAGGAACTGAATAAAGGCTTATGGAAAAAACTTCAAGACAAGCTCGCCACCAAGAGTCTGGATGAGAAAACTAAGGAGTAGCCTGTGTCTTTGTCCTCCCCGTGTACATAAGTGTGAAACCTTGTATATTGCCAAGAATAAAACTGCCCCCCCTTCCATCTAAATGTGGGTTTATATCCTCTTTGTGAGCTGACATCCCTAAAGGTAGCCTAGTGCTCCTGACTGAAACAGTCTTAATCTGAAAGGTGAGAAGAAAGGGTAATGGAGAGGCCATGTTTAAACGTTTTCAGGGTCTACTCTCTGTATCAGAGAAATATCGCAGGGGGAAACCCCAATCTCAAGTAAGCTGATCTTTTTCCGGGCATGTTGGTGAGGATAAGGGAGACTTGGAAAAGTGTGCTTCCTGTACTGCCCTGGGAGTCCCCACCTCATAAATGTTTGGTTTTCTGTCCCCTGGCAAGACTTCACACTTTGTTTTGCTGTGGCAGCTAAAATGAAGAAGCTGAGAATGGAAGAGGGAACAACCCAACCATCCAGGGAAGTGGCAACATAGGATGTAATGAGGGGCAGGCTCCAGCAGAACTCAGGCCTAATTCTCAACTTCGGGAATGATTTAGCCAAGTAAAGACCAAAGGTTTGTTCCTCAGGAGGACCAACTTGACATAGGTGAAAAAGTAAAACTTTACCATTGCTTTAGTCAGATCAGCGACTCCAGTTGCCGCATGTTTCATGATTATATGTGGGCACTATGGAAAACCAAACAGACCAGAGTGGGAGGTGGACATATGTAAAGACTCCTTGTTGTCCTGTGCAACTTATCCACTGTTAATACCCAGTATTAACAAAGTATTGTTTTTATATAGTTTACATATACATATAATGTTACATATATATGTATGTATGTATGTGTATCAACTTGGGAGTCAGACGCTGGATTTGAATACCAGCTTTGCTGTCTATTACTAGTGTTACTCAGGGAAGTCATAACTTCTCTGGGCTTTAGTTTCTTCTCTATAAAAAGTAGTTGTCTGAAGTTAGATGATCTCTAACATCCCTTCCCATTCTAAATCTGAATAGGAATTGGAAATGACCAAGAGGTCTTTGGCAAAGCAGCTGCGTTGGTTTTAAGTGGACCTCTTTAACAGTCCCTTAAACAAAAGTGTTGGACCAGTTAGAAAAATGTCTGAACTTGCCTTTCCCCCTTTCTAAGAACCCATTTTAATCCAACTAATCTTTTACAAGTATAAGAATCCTAATTTTAAAATCAAGATTTGATTTCTGTTCATTTATTTAAGGCAATTAACAAATTAGTTCTCAAGAATTCTGTAAAACATCACACCAAGAGGGTGGGGGGAAGGGGAGGCCACTCAATACAAACCAGCCCTTCCCAGAAAACCTCAGAGATCTGTCATTTCTACAGTAGACCAGGAGAAAATCTCTTCCAAAGGAGTCAAGGAGGACTAGATGATAAGTAATAATTTGTCATCCATAGGTCACCCGCTCACATTGTGAATATTTGGTGGGGTGGGGCGGGGGACTCCCTGCCTGTGACTGCCCCAGGATTCAAAGGCAGCATCCCAGAGAAAAATTATGAGGTCTACAGTAGATTTGAGGCATGGTGGGTGAGACAACCATGTGGGTGGGTCTGAGTCAGAATGGCATCCTTGGAATAAGTTAAATAATGAAGCCCTAAAATTACTAGTAACAGTATTCATGCTACCTCCCCCTGAGGCATGTAGTTACCAAAATGTAGTGCCTGGAGATAAAGAGAATGACCCACTCCTAATCACCCACGTTGAGGAATAAAAATGAATTTTTAAAAGTTATTGTATTATAAGGGATAAAGCTCCCAAGTGCTTTATCTTCCTCTAAGGCAGTAAGGTAAACTGACTCCAGGTGGATTTCCACAGCTTCATTTCCAGAACTGTCCATTGGACTGTCAGCTAGGAGTTTCCCTCCCCCTGTTGCTGGTCAGAACTTCTGCCCATCTGGGATCCCTGACAGTGAGGGAGCCACTGCTGAGTTTGAATCTTGACCTAAGCGGTTGACTCAGCTGGGGCCATCCCACCAGTAGGAAGCAGAGAGAGAGCCGGGGCGTTTCTTTGCAGTAAGGATCCTCTCATAACAAACACTCCTCCACTTCAGTCCTTCTTCTGGAGGAGGGCAGTCTCAGCGACTCATGCAGTTCTGGACGTCCACAAAGCCCATACGCTGTCTGCGTTTCCTTTGCTCTGTCATCTGGAAGGAGATAAGACAGTTTCCAACAGAATGCTCCTCTGTGCCCTCTGTGAGCCTCTGCTAAAAGAACTAGCTCTTTGATGTCTGTCTCTTTGTTACTGCTGGACAAGTGGTGCCTCCTGCCCCTGCCCCTCCCCCTTGGACTTTCAGAAAGGTTTAGGGGTTACTAAACCCCATCTCCCCCAAGGAGGGTTGCTCTCTTTTCTTTAAGCCAGTTTGTCACAAACCACAACTTTTATGCAGCTAGGTACATCAGCTTGTGCCCAGTACCTAAAGGCACCCAAAAGATGCCATCAGCTAAGTGCCCCTGCTGTAGATAAGGCAGCATTTGAGGTCTTTGATTTATATCCTCTCAGGGAGAGGGACAGAGTGGCCCAACTTTGGAAAGAGCAGCTCTATTCTTAGAGTCCTCTTTTAAAATGTAAATAACCCTTGCCAGGTTAATCCCTACCTGCCAAACCACTCACACAAACACACACAAGCACACACACACTCTCTCTCTCCCACCCCCCCCCCCAGGTATCACATGGACTACAGGATAGACATTAACAGGAAGAAGGCCTAGATCACAATATTGTTCCTGACTTACACTTTTACCAGGAACCAGACCTGGCCAAATAAATACTACGAACTTTTGAAGTGAGGTTATCTGATGGAGGAAAATCTGTATTTACCGTATCACAGCCAATAAACATTAACAATAACATTAGATGCCTATTAAATGTTAGGCACTGCATTAAGCAATAGGGATACAAAAAAAGGCAGAAGATTACAATCCCTACTTTCAAGGAACTCGGTCTAATGGAGGAGACTGTGTTTACAGATTTACAAACAAGCTCTCTATACAGGATAATTCGGAAATAATCAACAGAGGAAAGGCTCTAGAATTAAGGAAGATCAGTGAATAGGAAGACGGACAAGAAATGTTACATGCACGGATTGGGGCCGAAGTGTCACAGAATTGAGCACTGGTGAAATTACCTATGGCCAAGGGACTTGACTGACTGAGTCTTCAGACCTCTGGTCTAAGGCTTCCCCATGTTAAGAGATGGTGAAAAGGGGAGATGGGAACAAGGAAGATTTCCTACCTGCTCCTTGAGCTCATTGAGCTGTGAGGTGAGATGAGACACCAGTTTCATGGTGGAGTTGAGTTTGTCCTGAAGGCTCCGGATCTCATTCTGTTCTCCTTCACCTTCATTGCTGACCAGTGACATGGCTCTCATTCGAGGGAACCAGTCCAGATTCTTGTTCTGAAATTAAGAACATGCAATATAGGGTCTTACTGACCCTGGGAAGAGGGAGAACTAAGTTGTGAAAGGGATCCTAAAAAAGAAATTTTCTACGATAGCCCTGAAAAGTCACTGGCCAGGGTGAACAGGTCAAGTAATTGTCGCTATCAACTGAGGTCCTTTCTGGTTTTGTCATTATGGGACAAAGCTTTGTGGCGATGGCAAAGCTTTACTTTTAAAATGACTTCTGAAGACTGTTGTTGACAGCCCCCACTTTACCCTCACTTACATTGTGCAGCCCACAGCCCAGCAAAAGCTGAAAGGAAAGGCTTCTTCAACAAAAATGTTGGATATCTTTCCCCTAGCGAAATCATGACTCAGAAAATTGCCATCCTTAGAGAAGGAGAGGGTAGGTAGGGGGAATATCCTTCAGACAAATGTAAAATTTCAGCCTGTGCAGAACCACCTTTTCTCTAACCTTGCCAACTGCCTGTTTAACACCTTTCCTGAGGATTAAAAATTTAACATTCTGATTCTGTTGTCCATTTGTAGACTCAGGGGCCATCTGGGCTATCAGAGGAAACTGTCCCCCCAAGTTTCAGATCCCCTCCCTCAGGATAAAATCTCTTTTGGGAGATACGGACATGGACACCACACACAAAGGCACACACACAGATACCTCCACCCCCACCCCTTGGCCTTTGCAGACTAGTTTTAGGGAAGGAAAACCATCAGATTTATAGGATCTGAAATCCACCAGGTCAGCTCATGCCCAGGGCCCCGTATATTCCGTATATTCTCTCTCCAGTTGGGGAGTTTAACTTAGGATAACTTTCAAAGCCTGATTCTACAGTCCAAGCCCTGTTGCAGCAGCTGGAGCCAGGAGTCAACAGTTGGTAGCATTTTCAGCTATGAGAAGGATTTCTCCAGATGCTGCTCCAGCTCCCCTGCTAGCCCTTTATACAGCATCTGCAGACGTCAGAACCCACAGCCCCTCCCTCATCCCCCTTTACTAACAATCTGCAAGGGGATAGGGATGGGGGGGGGACTTCCTTTCCAATTCACTAGTTCAGACAGATGTGAAATGTCCCTCTAGTAAATGAATGAAGCCAGACCTCCCTACCAACCAGAGTCCCTGTGGCAAAAACACTTGGGATTCCAAAGTGATCCGAACGGGCTGGGCCCCTCCTTGTCCTGGCCCAGCAGAAAGGACCAGGCAGGTGGAGAGCACCAGTCACTGACGCCGACTCATCACTCCCCTCCCCGCCCCGCCGCCGGTGCCATCCTCCACACCTTGATCATCTGAGCCACGTAGCTCTCCGGGCCCGTGTAGTCTGTCTTGTTCTTCACTCGCACCAGCACAATGAAATATAAGTAGTTCCACATGTTGTGTTCATACTTGATATGCTCTTCAAAGGACACCGTCTTGTTGTCAAACTTGTCCCTCTCCAGACCTGAGATTGGAAAGGGGTGAGAGAAGGGAGGGAGGAAGGAAAAAGGATACTATGATTCCCTTTACTTCACTCCCCACCCCACCACACACACACACACACACACACACACACACACACACACACACTGGACCAGCCATCTAAATGATCCAAGGCAATAAAACATATATCTGATGGGCCTCCATGTGATATTCAGATCATGTCTATTGAAAGCCTGAACTGCTTCACTCAAAACTAAAGCAATCTAGCCCTGTCATAGGGTACAGCCCCTCCTTTTGAAATAAAGACCTAAGAACCTGGATAGTGAACCCTGTAAGTAGAATAATCTAAAGGGTGCATAAAACAGAAATGAGGCCAGTCTTAGCAGCCAGAAAGTCACTTAGGAAAGACACTGACTTTGGAATGAGAGGACCTGAATTCAAATCCTGAACTACCCGTGTGACCTTGGGCAAGTCACTTGACTTTTTAGTCCTCAGTTTCTTCATGTGTAAAATGAGAGGGTTGGACTAGATGGTCTTTTCTAGCTTGAAATCTCTGGTTCTGAGCTACTTAGGCTTTTGCATGTTCACACTACCTTCCCCCTCCCCCCCCCCCAAAAAAGGCAACTGTGAAGTGTATTTCTTTAACTCTTAGATGGGCAAGCCAAAACACCAAGACTTGGACAGGATTCCTGGCCCAGCCTTCCCCAAGAACTAGGAAAAGAACATGTTAATATTCTAAGCCAGAATGATATGGTTCCTTCCATTCCAGCTGGCCTAGAGGCACTCCAGAAAAGAAAACACCTTCTCACCACAGATGAAGCACGTGGTCTTAAGGATTTCCTCCTTCTTCTGCTTCTCACTCCTCAGGTCAGCAAAGGTATCAATGATCACCCCAAAGATGAGGTTCAGCACAATGATGATGACGATGAAAAAGAACAAGAGGTCATAGACCACTCGTGCAGGAAACAGGGACTCCTGTTGGCAGGAAGATGATGGTGGAGTGGGAGAAGAGAGACAAAGGCCAGAAGCCCCCACCACCAGGACCCCCAAACACCAGAAGCTAAGTTGTTGGGTTCTAAACTGATACAATGGGACAAGGTATCAAAGACTGGAGACTCCAGAGGGCTCTGAATTCAAAACAGCGGCAAATGTCCAGAGGGCATAAGATTGGGGGGATTTGAAGACTGGGGGGGGGGGGATAAGTTTCTAGGCAGTAGCTGAATGTAAACAACAGTTCAAGCCAAGGAGCTGGGACTTGTTCTAGTCCTGGCTATGTCTCTAACTTTCACTGCCACCCCAGGCTCTCCCTCAGTTTCCTCCTGATTTCTAAAAGGTAAAGAATCACTCCCTCCCAAGCAGTTTGTCAGTCAGTGGACAAGCATTTCTTAAGCTCTTACTATGTGCTAAGGGCTAGCTAGGGATACACAGAAAGGCAAAAACACTCCCTGCCCTCAAGGAGCTAACATCCAAGTAGGGAAGACAACATACAAGCAGCTATGTGCATATAAGACATATGTACTGTAAAGGGAAGGTACTAGCAGCAAAAGAGACCAGAAAAGGACTCCTCCTCCAGAAAAGGAGGGAGGATTTGAGCTAAGTCTTGAAGGTTAGACAAGAAGTGGAGGTGAGGAGAGAGAGCATTTCAGGCAATAGCCAATGAGGGGACTGTGGGGAGAGGGGTGCTGGTAATAGCTCACATGTATACTTATAGTTGTCCTTATAGTTTACAAAGTATATGTACTTACAGTTATGCCGTGTATATATACACTTATATAGTATATGTACTTATATGTAAATATAATAATACATAAGGATACTACTTACAGTTTACAAAATTTATGTACTTATAGTTATGGAGTATATATACTTATATAGTATATGTACTTATATATAAATATATAAGTACATGTAAGTACATACTATATAAGTATACTTATATAGTATATGTACTTATATATAAATATAAGTACACGTAAGTACATACTATATAAGTATACTTATATAGTATAAGTATTTATAGTTCACAAAGTATATGTACTTATAGTCATGGAGTATATATACTTATATATAAATACAAGTACATACTACATAAGTATACTTATATATGTACTTACAGTTTACAAAGTATATGTACTTATAGTTATGGAGTATATATACTTATATAGTATATGTACTTATATATAAATATAAGTACATGTACATACTATATAAGTATACTTATATAGTATAAGTACTTACAGCTTACAAAGTTTATAAAGTCATGGAGTATATATACTTATATATAAATACAAGTACATACTATATAAGTATAATTATATAGTATATGTACTTACAGTTTAAAAGAATATGTACTTATAGTTATATGAAGTATATATACTTATGTAGTATATGTCCTTATATATAAATATAAGTACATACTATATAAGCATATTTATATAGTATATGTACTTATAGTTTACAAAGTGCTTACAAAGATGATATACATCATTTCTTTGGATCCTCACCAAAAAAAAATCTCTATGAATTATGATTATTCCCATTTTACAGATAAGGAAACTGGGGCCTGGTGAAGTTAAGTGACTTGCCCAGGGTCACACAGCTAGTAGTTGTGTGAAGCTGGATTCAAACATAGTTTTGCGGTACAGAATTACGGGCCTGGAATCAGGAGATGGGAGTGTCTAGTGCAAGGAATAGCAACAGTGTTGATGTAGCATATGTGGAAGGCAGTAAAGATTAAGGAGCCTGGAAAGGTAAGATGGGGTGAAGTTGTACAGAGCTTTAAAAACCAAGCAGGATTTTGTATTTGATCTTGGAAGTAATAGGGAGCCACTGGAATGCATTCAGGGGATGTAGGGAGTAGAGTGGTAACATGGTCAGACCAGCACTTTAGGAAGATCTCTGTGGCAGCTGAGTGGAGAGTGAATTGGGAGAAACCTGGAGGTAGGAAGGCCAGTCAGAAGGTTATTGCAATAGTCCAAGCAAGAGGTAATGAGGGCTTGCACCAGGGTGTCAGTTAGCAGAATAACAGCCTAGGAGGCCCCAGAGTCCAAAAGCAGTTAGGATTCAGGCTTGGTCTCCTAAGGCCTGCTGATCTAGCTATCAGAAGCCAGCCAGGTTGCAATCCATGTTACTGGGACTCCAAGGACCGTGATAAATTCTGAGGGACATATCCCAGGGGTGGTAATGGCCAACCAACTCTTAATTTCTCCTTATTAATATAAGAGAATAGGTTTTGGATAATTTAAAACAGCAGGTTATCCAAAAAATCATTCCCATTTGGGTTTGGGGTAGTTTTTCCACTTACACATAAAGTTGGTTATTTCTAAAATCCTTGGAATTCACTACATGTCAGACAGCATAATGAAGATTTGACTCAACTTTCCTATCCTACCCTGCCTGTTCCAGTGCTCTACATCTGATAAGGACAGTTTCACTTCTCAGCCAAATCTGCCTAAGCAAAGTTATCTGTCCTCCTTCTACAGAAAGTTCAGCTTATCAAAAGCCTTCCCTTTCAGCCATTGCAGGACAAAGGTAGAGGTAAGTTGTAATGATGCCACTGGGTCCTTCCCTGGAGACATTAGATGAATCCAACAGGGAAGTCAATGACAAGAAAAAAAAGAAAAAAGGCCCCATAAGTACCAAAATACTCATTGCAGCACTTTTTGTGGTAGCACAGAACTGGAAACAAAGTAAATGCCCAAAGTCTGAGGAATGGCTAAACAAATTGTGGTCCACGAATGGAATGGAGTTATGTACTGGGCTGGAAGAAAAGATGAATGTGAGGAGCAGGAAAGCTGCAAGGAAAGGCTTATATGAACTGATGCAAAGTGGAGTAAACACAGGCAGGAAAACATACACACAAGGACCACACCAATGTAAACAGAAAGAACAGCAACGAAAAAAATGAAACTGAATGCTGTATAATTATAATGACCAAGATTGGTCCCAAAGATAGAGACACGAGGAGGCACCTCCTCCTGGTCTTTGCAGAAATAGGGGACCATGGGTGTGGAATAATACTTATCACCTCAGAATTTTTTTTATGTTGGTTAGTTTTGTGTAAATGTTTTCTTTCTCTCTTCCTTCTTTCCTTCTTTCTATATTTCTTTTTATGTTTGATCCTTCCTTCTTTCTTTCTTCCTTTCCTTTTAAAAATTCTTTATTATAAGGGATAGCTCTCTGGAAGTGAGGAAAGGGATACACTGGGAAACGTAAGGTGATATAACAACAAAAAGTATTGATAATTTTTTTTTAAAAGAATCTGAAAGCAAAGAATCCCCATTGGAAGTAAGGTTGGGGAACTAATGGGGAGCTCATGGGCACAGCACCCTCTTTCTAGGGATGGAAATCTGGAGAGGGATTGGGCCAGGAGACAGTGGGAATACCCTGGTAGAGACTGGAGGTGAGGGGAAGAAGGAAAATGGCTCACATCTTTGGATGGCTTTCGCAGAATGTCACCCACGCCCCCGCCATTTCGAAGTCCGTGGTTCATGACTGTAACTATGCACATTAGCAATGTGTCGCAGGCTCGCTCTGTGCTGTCTTCATCGTCATCCTCTGTAAACACAGTTAAATTGTATGTCCAGCCGCAGCTAGGTGTCGCAGTACAGAGCTCCAGCCTTGGAGTCAGGAGGACCTGAGTTCAAATCCGACCTCAGACACTTGAAACTTACTAGCTGTGTGACCCTGGGCAAGTCACTTAACCTCATTTGCCTCACCAAAAAAAACAAAAACAAAAAAAAATGTCTGTCCAGGAGCCCATCAGCCCATATGAGGAGGTGGGGGACTCAATGATCCTTCAGGGGAGATTCCTATATTCTATGGTTCCGACTCTATTGGGGGGTAGAGGTAGAAGCTGGTAATAGCTCACATGGATATAATGCTTATGGCTTACAAAATGCTTTACATATATATTATCTCTTTGGAGCTTCACAAAAACCCTATGAATTATGATTATCCCCATTTTACAGATGAGGAAACTGAGGCTCAAGCAGGTTAAGTGATTTGCCCAGGGTCATACAGCTAGTAGGTACCTGAAGTCAAATTCTAACTCAGTTTAGCACTATAGAGTGCTGGGCCTACAGTCAGAAAGACTTGAGTGCAAATCCAGATTCAGACACTTGCCTAGTTAAGTGACCCTGAGCTTAACTTAACATCTGCCTTATTTTCTTCATCTATAAAATGAGAATAATAACAGCACCTATTTTCCAGGGTGGTTGTGAGGATCAAATGAGATAATATTTGTAAAGTACATAGAACACAATACCTGGCATACTGCAGGTGCTTAATAAATGCTTATTCCCTTTCCTTCCTCCCATCTACTACCCCAGTGTTCCCAAGCACCAACCCCCAACCCCAACCCATCCCCAAACTCTATACCACCCTGTCCCAATTACAAGACATTTCCATTACAGTCTCCATTACAGTCACACTTCCTTTACCTTCCTGAATTTCAGGCACTGTGATGCCAGAGGAACAGCCAATCTTGTCTCCACTGCAAGTGTCCATGAATGCTGCAGGGCTATGGGGCATTCCCAGGGGGCTGGCTGGAGAAGAGAGAGACAATGTTGGCTCATGCAGGCAGCATCCCCTGTATGTGGTGATCCTGGAGACATTCTGAAAGTCACTCGGTGGCCCTGCTGCTAGGGGGAACTCACTGCTGTGAATGGGACTTCTGAAACCTTGGTGGAAAAGTGGGGGCTGGGGGGCAGGAAAAGCTTCAAAAAGACAAAACATGAAGACTCCACCTGATGGTCCATGGTAGATATTAATCAGCAGGGACGGGCTACTTCTGACTTCCTCCTATTCTTTCTCAAACTGAAGGGGGACTGGGGGCAAGGGCTGGAGCCCTCTGATAGCCTTTCAGATATCAGAGAACCAAGCACCACAAGCAAGTCAGTTCTGTTTAAGGATCATGGAGATCTGAGAACCCCCATCCCATTCCAGTCTTCAAGAGCATCGTTTTTCCCCTGGGACCAACAGGTCGAGAAATAGCCCCAGAGAGCTTCAGTGATTTGACCAAGATTAGACAGCGAAGAGAGGACAGAACCAGGAACATCAGTCTCCAGAGCAGGGGCCCTTAGCCTTTTTTCTATCATGGACCCCTTTGGTAGTCTGGTGTAACCTATGGACTCCTCAGAATAATGCTCACAAAATAAAAACATAGGATTGTAAAAGAAACCAATTATATCGAAAAGCAGTTTTCAAAATATTCTTTGAAAAATGTTCACGTACCCCAGATTAAGAACTCTTGCTCTAGTCCTATACTCTTTCCTACACGTGGATTTGCAACCATGAGCACTGTGCCTAAGGTGGAATGACTGGGGTTTAGTTAGTTACATCTCTGACTGCCCCCAGGTAACTCGCTCCACGGCCATACTTTGCCGACTTTAAAGTATTCTATAAATGTTAGCTACCAGCAGTCATTACTCCACTAAGGGCGGAGTGGCCTATGAGGACGAGAGGGGACAGCTGGGGACAGGACAGCTGAGGGCAAGGGGATGGGGACAGGAAGAGACCTTTGGCCTTGTTATCGGGCAGCCGGTCCACCTCGAGGATGAAGTCATCCTTGAGGAAGAGGAAACCAACAATGGAGAAGAGATAGACGAGGATGAGGGCGAGCAGGGCGGTGAGCAAGATGGAGCGCCCATTTCGGGTCACACTCTTGATCACATTGAACAAGGTCTCCTCACGATAGATCAGGTCGAAGAGCTGGAAGAGGCAGAAACATCAGACTGGGAGAGCGGTCTGAGCCTTGCAAAACACACTCTCCCCACCGAGGACTAACCCTCCAGAAATAAGTCTGGAGTCACTTTAATAAGACATTCCATTTGATGAAAGCAGGGCCCACCTAACCTAATGGGCAGCAAAGCCTGACTAGAACCAGCTTCCTGGCCCTCGTCCAAGGGCTCTTTTTTCTACATTGTTCCTTTTTCGGGAACACTGGGACGGTAGAAGTAGACAGTCACATATGCTGTGCCTCGTTAATTGGGACCTTGAGAAATTCAGTCCCAAGTCCTAAGGATCCCCAGAATAGAAAAGTGGTAGCTAGATAACGGGAGCCCTAGAGACTTCTCCATTTGCAGCTCTACCCTTCCTCAAAACTCCCTCCCCAGAACCCATCTTTGTACTGTCCCCTGCCCCCCCCCACCACTGGCCCATCCACCATCACTCCGGAAGTCATACCAGGATGCTGTAGAAGAGCTCATGGGCAAAGATGCCAAGCACGCTGGTGAGGATGTATCCGACGTGGTAAAGGAACTCCATGTCCATCACCATGGCTTTGTAGCCCCGGATGAAGGTGCCTCGGTTGCCCACAAAGCTCACTACAAACACGATCTTGTTAGTTAGCTGGGAAAAAAAGCAAAAGAAAGATGAGAGTGATGGACAAGGCACCAGGAGCAGCATAGCAAGAGTGGGGAAGGGAAAGAAGAGAATAATGGGTGTTGGGACTATAACCCCAAAGAGGTCAAAGATAGAAAGGCCTCATATGCAACAAAATATTTATAGCAGCATTTTTTGCGGTAGGAAAAAAAATGGAAAACATAGTAGATACTCAACAACTAAGGAAATGCTAAACAACTTCATAATAATAAACATGTTATTAATAATGATTCATAATTGATAATTAATAAATTAACATGCTAGTTGTATTTATATTATGTACAATGAAATATAATGATTAATAAAAATGGTTCATGATAAACACAGTTCATGAATATAATGGAATATTCCTGTGCCATAAGAAATGATGGATAGGAAGAATATGGAGAAACATGGGAAGATTTATATGAACTGATGCAAAGTTGAAGCAAGCAGAACCAGGAAAACAATACACACAATGACTACAATAATGTAAACAAAAAGAACAACAATTTTTAAAAAACTGAACGTTGTATAATTATAGTGGCCAAGTTTGGCCCCAATATAAGAGATGAGAAAAATGTATCACTCAGTCCCTTCTTTGCAGACTATGGGTATAAAACATTACATACACATCTGATTCTGTTACTGTATTAGCTAATGAACTGCTTTCTCTTTTATTCTGTTCTATTATTTTATATAGAGGGACTGATCTTTGGGTAGGGATATATTTGGAAATGAAGATAACATAAAACAAAAGCTGTCAATTTTTTTTTTTTTTTAAAGAGGGCAGTGGGATGGGTGAAAGAACTACTTCCTATGTGATCCATTCCTGGGATCTTTTTTCCATAAAAGCAGAGTTTGATCTCCCTTAGTACCCCATTTCCTTGTCTAGGTTAGCGGACTGGGCCTAAATAACCCAGGATTGGCATCACATCTTAGCCAGGAAGAATTTGAAGAGTCCAGGCAGGAATTTCTCTTATAAACTTTCTCCAAAAGGGTTTCAGCCTTAGACTCCTGAGCAGTCAGGACAAGGAGTCATTATCTATGGCCCCAAGTACTGAAGAGTGCATCCCTGCCTCCTCACGAGTGTCGAGCCTGAAAAATCCCTAGTCAACTAGTTCTGTTCTCTATGGAAATAAACCAGAATCTGGACAAGTAAGTATAGGGAACAGAAAAAGGAGAAAGTCAACATTCCCAAAACCTGGCCCTGCCTTGGAGTTGCAGCAATGATCCCTATTAGAGGGCTTGTCGGTGTAGACAAGGAGGGACCTGCAGACGAGGAATGAAAAGGGGCAGGAGGGACACTGTCACAGAATGTTAGGGTCGACAGGAACTTCACGGGCCATCGGGCCTGGATCTTATCATATTACCGATGAAAAAAATTAAGACTTATGGAAAAGGAAATGACTTGCCCAAGATTATACAGCCGGTAAATGGCAAAACCTCAACTCAAACTCAGGTCTCCTTATTCCACACTCAGTGGTTTTACCACGGTGTTGCAAGCTAAGCTTTGAAGCCCTCCAGCCTTGATAAAGCAAGACACATGGAATGGGACCAAGGGTTCTTCTCCTTGCAACGGGGATATCAATGGTGCCCGTGTTATTTTTATTGGAAAGCCACATCAAAAGACATCAATAAAAATCTTCAAAGAAAAAAAGGAGCAAGCTGGCTGTAGATCAGACGGCTTGTAAAGCAAAGGGGATAATACGATCAATGATAATATGATCCCTCATCCCTACCCACCTGCTTTCCTTCAGAGTTACAACTTGAGAGGCAGCTAGGTGGCGCAGTGGGTTCAGTGCCAGACTCAGAGTTGGGAAAACTACTGTGTGATCCTGGGCAAGTCACCTGTCTGTTAGTCAGTCAATAAACATTTTGTATACCCCTGCTATGTGCCAAGCACTGTATTAACTGCTGGGTATAAAAAGGAAAGGTAAAAGATATTGCACTCACAAGGAGTTCTCAAGGAGCTCACAATCTAATGGCGGAGAAAACATACCAACAACTATGTACAAACAAGATAGATACAGGATAAATTGAAGATAATCAACAAAGGGCAATTGAGGGGAAAGGCTGCCTGTAAAAGGTAGAATTGTAGCTGGGACTTGAAGGAAGCTTAACCTCACTCTGCCTCAGTTTCCTCATCAATAAAATAGGATAATAATAGCAACTACCTCAAAGAGTTATTGTGGTTTTTTGTTTTTGTTTTTTTGATGAGGTAATTGAAGTTAAGTGACTTGCCCAGGGTCACACAGCTAGTGATTGTTACATGTCTGAGGCCGGACTTGAACTCAGATCCTCCTGACTCCAGGGCCAGTGCACTATCCACTGCACCCCTTAGCTGTCCCCTCAAAGGGTTATTGTGAGGATCCAATTAAACATATGTGTGTACATAAATAATATATATATGTATATACACACAGGTATATATATGCACATATATAAAATGTGTGATTATACACATATAATCATATGTAATCCATTTTATATAATACATAAAATACATCCTGTTTTTATATGATATATATTAAATTATGTTTTTATATTATGAATATATATTACACAAATATTATAAATATATTGCATATATTATATATACTATATGTATATATAGTGATTTGCAAACTTTAAAAGATTTTACAGGGTATCTTCTTACAGGGTATTTTGGTGCATTTTTTAAGCTTTAAAAACTTGAATAGTTTCCAACTGCACTGACCTGGGGAACACCTTGTATAAATATTAGCATTAGTATTAGTGGTATTGCTAATATTCTGGCACTATGCTCCCTTTCTCCTGCACCCACCCTGCTCCCCACTGCCCCTGAGGTAGCTATGGCCCTGTGTCCTAGGACTCACATTGAGGGCCCCCAAGATGTTGAGGGTGGGCCCAATGCCCAGGTAATAGATGGAGCGTAGGATGAGAGCCACAATGACGGGCCGGATGCTATAGCGCCTGGTGAACAGGGCCACGATGGAGAAGCAGACCAGAAGCCAGAAGAGCAAGGAGATGAGTGGAGAGCCCAGCACACCTGGAGGGAGAGGAGAGGGAGAAGGTGAACAGGATTCCTCCCAAAGCTTCGCTGCCATCTTGGGACATTGAGCTCATCCTGATCAGAGGGTCTTGAAGGCATCCCCTAGGGTATCTTGAACTGGCCTGGGAGTCACAGAATCACAGTCTCAGAGGGGGAAAGGCCCGTGGGGGCCATCTAATCTGATCTGTACCCGATCACATATCCCTTTGACAACATCCCCGACAATGGGGCCTCCAGCCTCCGCCGGAGCCCTCCCAGGAACCCCCAGTAACAGACCTACGTTCTACTTCTGTCCTCACTCTGACTTTGAGCAAGGCGAGTACCACTTCCTCCACTCTCCACACTTTCTAGCTGCCTCCTACTTCTCTCCTGTTCACACATTACTATCAAGTCTCTAATGTTAATGTCCCCAGTCAGAATGGGAGCTTCCTGAGGACAGGAGCCTACGTCTTCTGCTCCCTCTGTTTTAATTGCGACACAGTCAGGGAGACCTGGCTTCACATCTACCTCAGATACTTATAGTGTGACCCTAGCCAAGTCATTTCAACTTTCCATGCCTCAGTTTCCTCATCTGTAAAATGAGAGAGGTGGACTCCATGGTCTCTGAGGAGCCTTCTTGCTCTAAATCTATGATCCTATGATTGCACCCCTAGTGCCCAGCAGAACTCTGCTCAAAGGGTATGCTCAGTGTCAGGGTGACTGACTCCAGGGGTTCCAAGCAATGCATTACAAGTGATGCTGTCTCCATCACCCTCTCTGGGAGGGCGGGAGGGTAGTAATACCCTCATCCTCCTTTAGAGGCCCGAGAAGCCCCAGTCCTCCAGCCTCCCCCACCAATGCTGTCCTCACCTGTGGAGGCACCCTCCACATAGGGGTAGAAGAAGGCTATAATGATGTTAATGAAGACGGCGAGGTTGAAGGATATGGTGCCCCACAGGGTCATTCGGCGAGAAAACCAGTAGATCAGAGGCATGCCTGGCAGTGATAGGTGAAAAGACAAAGGTAGCGTTGAGTGTTTGGACCCGAGTGGAGAAGGGAAGTCCCTCCTGCCTTGCTGTGGCAGAGGGGCTTGCTTAGCTCAACGAAATTATGAGCTAGGCCGTGCAGGGTTACCCAAGACGGACAGGTTAGAGTGGACAATTCTGACAAATAATGTCAGAGAAGAAAATGTCAAGCCACTCCAGTATCTTTGCCAAGAAAACCCCCTAGACAGAAGAGCCTGGCGCGCTATGGTCCACGGAGTCAGGGAGAGTCAGATGTGACTGAACAACAGAGCAGGGAAGCAGAGAAGCCAGCTTCAATAAGCAAGCACCTGCTTGCCCTGAAGTCTGGGGAAATAACAGCTCAGGCCCCATTAATGGTGGAAGGGACATCAGTTTTAACCCCTTTGGAGGAAGCCACCTTGTTTTTGCACAAATGGTATGGGTTTATGCTAGGGTGGTTGGACATGGTCAACAAAGCATAAGAATTTTGTTTTCTAAAAAAAAAAAAAAAATGTAAAATGTAAAAGTGTAAATCTACCAATAAATAGGATCTCAGATTCCTCAGCAAAGGTAATTCCCAGAATGAGGGGGTCAGCTGTCCTTTATAGTTTTGGGGGGTACAGAATGAAGAACAAGACTTCATAGGTAGGGAATGGTTACAGGAGCTTGACATCACGAACGGTGAAGTCAATATGATTGGTCACAGAGCTGAGATTTGTAGTGAAATCAGCTAGGTAGTGCAGTGGATAGAGCACTGGCCCTGGAATCAGGCGGACCTGAGTTCAAATCCAGCTTTAGACATTT